TTTTTTTTGTAATATTGTTTCTATACTTTGTGGTCATTATGAGAATACTTTGTGGTCATTATGAGAAAAAAAAAAACAATATCGGTTTCTAGTTATAAGTGTTTATTATACTTTTTTTCTTGGATCATTTTTAATTTCTTTAAAGAACTTTTATATATTAGAGTTATGAAATGTGATTACAATATTACAATTAGAATTATATTAAAAATAATGATTTTTTTTTTCAAAACAACAATTATATATCCTATCAAACAGTTTTAGAGATGTGTGGAAGAAAATAAATTCGTGAGAAATAATGGTGCCAACATATTGTGTAGTTGAATTTAGGAGTGTGGAATGATTTTTTCATATATTTGTAAGTAATTAATTAAATATTAATTATTAATAGAAAATATAAAATATGATGGACATTAGTATGTTACTAATTTTCTATTAAAAAAATGTCAAAGTAAGGATTTTTTAGGTAGTTCATTATTTAATTAAAAAAATAGAATATGATGTGTATTAGTTTTTTTACTAATTTGCTATTAAAATTATGTCAAAGTAAGAATTTTTTAGGCAGTTCATATTTTTACAAAAAACTTGTCCTTTTAGAATAGTATAGATTATTATTATTATTATTATTATTATTATTATTATTATTATTATGAAAAATGCTATATTACCAACCTAGTGTACAACTAGGTTGACAGCACAAGTGAAAACATCCACTTGTGTATTTTTTTATTTTTATTTTTTTGAATATTTTCACTTATGTTGTCAACCTAGTTGTATACACAAGCGAAAACATCCACTTGTGTATTATTATTATTATTATTGTTATTATTACTTTAGTAACTGGGCTGCAGTCAGCCCAATAAGTTAAATGTTGCGTTGGGTTGGGCCATGGCCGAGTTCTTTATCTTAAAAAAAAAAAAGAAATGTTACATTCAAGAATCCAATATGGTGAAAACGGTGTGATGTAGGAGACCGAGAACTTCGAGGCGGAAGAGGGCGGAGGATTTGGACTGCGATGGGTCAAGAAGGCGAAGGCCGGTGGAGGAGGATGGAGGCAGAGGACGATGGAGGAGGCCGACGGAGGAGGTGGAGGCATGGGCGAAGGCTGGAGAACTGGAAGGGAGAGGCTGAGTCGCCGTGTGGGGCGTCTGGAGGCAACGAGCGAGGCGAGGGGGGAGGGTAGGGTTAAGACTTGGGGGCTTCTGAGAGTTAGAGTTATGTGTTTTTTTAATTCTGAATCTCGAATTTGATAGACTGATTCTTATATCTAAATAATAAGTCAATAACCATCCAATATTGATATATTATATATATAATTAAGCGGGCCAGCCCGCGGGTTAGCATGTCCCGTCTTGCCCCGCCTTAGCCCGCAGCCCGCACGGGCCAGCCCGTGTAGGCCTGCTCCCTAGCGGGCCTTGAAAATGAAGGCCCAACTGCAAGTCGTAGGCTGTGTTGACAGCACTACTTTATATGGAGGTATTTTGTGGGTCAGGTTTTTGTGTAGTATCATTTATGTTGCAGATCAGTTATTTCCGAGTGCTATATAAACTTTTTTTTTTTTTTTTTTTTTTTTTTTTTTCAGAACGATAAAGAATATTATAAATCAAAACGCACAAATGTGCAAAAATACAACTACTAGTTGAATGGAAACAACCAAAAACTGAATAAAATGAGAGGACAGGTCTGACGACCGTCTAGAATCCCAACACTAGCAAACGCTAGAAACCAAGATCAAGACTCACGAGACAACTAACACAACAAACACAGAAACCTCAAAAGCTCCAAACAAGAGAATAGAGACAGGAGCAGATTCCCAAAAGATAATGATGGCCCACTCTAGCGTACAGAGGCCAACGACCCAAACCAAAAACACAAGTCCTAAATAATTAACAGAAAAATTAAGAAAAGGAAAATGATAAAGAAAAGGAGTGTTAAAAACTCTGTTAAGTGTACCAATGGTTGCTTCCTTAAAAAAATGAACAGAGAAGGGAAATGAACATGATAAAGAAGAAAGGGGGCGGGCTGCAGTCTTTAACAATCCTAAACGATACAAAATAATTTAATATCTTCATGAGGCACTCTGTCTAGCAGCAAGAAGTGCATCTGCTGCAGTGTCCAAATCCTGAGGGAAAAACACTCTACCACAAAACAAAAAATAAAAAAATAAAATAATAATAATAATAATAATAATAATAATAAAAAAAAAAAAAAAAAATGAACGAGGCTACTTTTGACAAAATTTGATGTGGATGTTTAATGTTGTCGATCTTAAAAGTGAGGTGCTATGAAATAACATATATAACAGGTCAAAAGTATCTGAATGAATCCTGAAAAATACCTGCAGGTGTTGTGGTACACAGTTTCGCTAAGCTGATTAATATCGGCAATTCCTTTACAGCCAGCCACCACCTCAAGCACTTGCCTAACATGCAAGATATTATACAGCAAGTCGTTCACATACAATTTAAGGAGGCAAATGAGAAGGATAACACATGATTTCACTAATATTTCATGACATTAATTACTTTTCTTACCGCACTAAACATGGTTCATTCCGGCCTTTGACAATGCACTCCAGATCATGTTTCTCCTTCTTCTTTGAAGGCCATAAGGTTTTCACAAACTTCATCCCTGCATGTGTGTTCTTAATTTCACAGTATGGAGAATCTGTTTCAATCATCAGTCGCTCGACAGGAATTCCCTTCACAACATCAAGGTTCTCAGCAGTCTTTAGAGAACATCCATTTACGCCTAAAGAAAATGCGAATTTAAAATGTAAATAATGTTGTTTTCTTTAAAATTATAGAAAAGTTTAGGAAGGAGTTAAAATTCAAGGCATATAAAACAGTAACATGTTCACCTATGAACAGATTATTGAATGAGAGAAGACGATCACGATCTTGGGCACCACCAGTAAAAGAGTGAGCAACCCCAGAGCAAAACCTATCAGATACAAGCAAAGAAGTTACAGCAGAAATACTATTTAAAAAAAAAAAAAAAAAGAATAGTGCACATTCACCAGAGAAGTAGAGAAATTGTCTTGAATATGGCAGAACCAGTTTTTTTAGCATGCACTTAAGTGTGAACAAAAGAAGCAGATGAAACCCTGGTGGTGTCATGAGATTAATACCAACTCCGAGCAATCATTATTTGAATGTGGTCTTTATTTATGACTCATCATCTAAAAACGCTGTGGGCAATGAAATCTTACTTGTGTTTATTTTGCTCAAGAATATTGCAGAAATCCTCAGCTGCCGCTCGCATGTGAAGAAACATTGGCAACTTCGTCACATATGCTAATTCAAATTGCCTCTCAAAGTACCTATATGTTAGATCAGTTCAGCACAACATATCAAACCGTATTAATTTGTGATTCAGAAATAATATATTAATAAATTGGTAACAAAATTGAGGGGGTCTGCCTCCTTTTGATAAAGGTCAGGGAACTTTATTGTGCACGGACATACTTCTTTTGAATTTCAGCTGGGCAGAAGTGAAGCCTATCATAGTCCAAACCACATTCTCCGATCGCCACTACCTTGCTTGAAACATGAATGTTGAAATCAAAATCTATATTACCAATAAGTCACCACTGCAATTTCGGGAATACTCAACCTCTCACAAACGAAACTTCATAAAAACAATAAAGAAAAAGAAAAGAAATTTCCAATTTGTATTTTACTTATTATTCTGGTTACAAAAAACTTAAAGCTGCTTCAAGAGGCCTCCATTTGGTGATACTTGGACGACAGTCAGAAAGTCGATATATTATTCAACTAGTCAGAAAGTCGATATATTATTCAACTAAGTAAACAACACTTACTTTGCCTTTCTCAATTCCCTCTCTAGCCAATGACAAAAGAGCCTTAAAATGCCCCTCCGGATCACCACTGTCATCAAATTCCTAATCAACAACAAAAGGAAAACTAGTGAAAATTTCTCCATATATAAGTCATTGTTATGCAAAAACCAAAACTGGCTTCGTGTAGAACAAATGAAGTTAGGTATGAACTCACTTTACATCTTGTTGGATGAACACCAACTGTGCAGAAGAGTCTTGCTGCAAAAATTGGAAACAACAACTTTATAAGCTATTACAGCAACTTAAAGGGCATGCATCTGCAGTTAAAAATTAATACGGAAAAGTCGAATGTATGAAACCACCATCAGTTTCGGCAATTGCCAGAGCTTCCTTTGATTCCTCTAGAGAACCTCCAGTCACCTAAAACAATCATGCATTTTAGTAAAACAATCTTCCAACTATTCTGCACTTGGCAACTACATATCACAATTTACTTAAGATGATACTATGAAACATTAACATTTATACTAAAAATACTTGCACCCTATTACATGACAGAAACATCAACAAAATCACATTTTTCAAAAAAGATCAAGTAAATGGTAGAAAGAAAAAACGATCCAATTCCCACTTTAGGAACACACAAAATGTTTTACTTCTAAATCAGGATTGTAAAAAAAAAAAAAAAATTAGTAAATGCCCTTTTACTTAGAGCATCTCCAACCGTAACTGAAACTCAAATGTAAACACAGTAGCATAGCTGCAAATTATATGGAGGTTGTTTAATATATTTATCTATAGACGAATTGTTTTGTCTAGTCATGTCCATTCGTATTTTACTTTATACAGTGCCATTAGATTTATAGATTTACAATTATAGATAATTTTTGTAATATTTAATTATTTATATTATGTATTTTACTTTAAATTTATAACAATAACCATAACTATTGTTATAAAATAAAAATAACAATAAAAAACTATAAACTTATCAAAATAAATTGGGGGCATATATGATCATAAATATATCCAAATTATTCATATAAACAATTCAAAGTATATACATTTCTAAGAAAATATTATAAATAAATTCAAACAAGGAAAAATTCGATGTTTAGAATAAGAGAAATAAGTCAATAACACATAAAAACTGAATATATTATAAACTACAAAATTAGTGGTACTTTTTTCTTATTTAATGGATATTTTATATGTTGGTATTTTTATGTGTACGAATCATCAATCTATATTTAATTCATTACATATTTTTGTCTAATTAATGCGAAATAGTAATAAGACTAGTATTAATACCCATGTACAATATGGGTGTTGAGTTAATGAATATACTATGTGTAAAGTTATTTATGTCTACTACCAAAAATAACTCCAAAGCAAAAATAATATAAAAACATCACGGAGCATAGATTTTCGTCATGTCAGCATCCGAAGCGTGAGAATCTGCCACCTAAGCTCAACACGTTTTGAATTCAAATATAGGGAGGGATGTAGTTTGTAAAGTATTGTATATATGGGTATACAAAGGTGAATGATAATATTTAAAAAATATTCTACTGAGTTTAAGAATGATAATAATAATGGTTGGAAAAGAATGCATTTTGCAATTTCTATGGCTGGGGATGGGTTAGGGGGTGATTGTTTACAAAATAATTTACTCACTTTTATTTCAACTCAAAATCTAACTCAACTTTAACTCAACCCCACTATTTTTAATATTATTCATATAATTAAATAATA